TGTTGTTGCTTCATGCTCCAGCAACCACAGTTAAGCCCCAGCACCACTTGCAACAACACCATCTTCTTTTGATCTTTTGGATTTGAATAGGGTTTACCAGATGTTAACTCCAGGGTATATATTTCTTTGGGAGGATGTTTATGGGTGTATTAAGTAATTAAGATATATCACTTCACTGAGCACCCTTTGTCAGTTCCCCACAGCATTCAAAGCTGCTTTACGAAAACTTACTTCTGATGTTCCTCGGTGGTAATCGTCCGCTTCTGTTCTCTCGACAGCACGTACAGACGATGAAGAGTGCAGGCATGAAATAAGTAGTTCTCAGCCTTCCAGAAGACAAGAGCAACCTTCTGGTAATAGTTGGCCATCACCTGAGGCTTTGGAGGTCGCTTGGAAAGCTGCATGAGTCCATAGACATCTTCTACAGCTTTAAATGCTTCCTGAAATGGAGTAACATAGAACAAAGTTTATTAAAATGTCCCAATGTCCAAGATAAGTAGATTTACAAAATTTGGGAATTATGGAAACTTCAACTGGTCCCAAACTAACATTTTTGTTGTTCTTCTCTCATTACAATGGACAATTTAGATGTATTGAATGACGTACATGTACATGTACATTCTGCAGTCTTGGAATGTTCACCAGTTTGCACACTATTCTGACCTTCAATGCATGATTATGAATCAAAGTGAATGTGTAGTTAACAAATTAAAACAATTTGGACATTGTAAAGGACTATAGCAGTACGTGACACTTCGCCACCGAAAACTGGGTTATTTTCATAACACCCCGTCATTGCGGACTCTTGCTATTACAGACACCAAATGACAGTCACAATGGTGTCTGCTATAACAAGAGTTGAGTGTAATTATATGCAAGTTTGACAAACTCCTTTTTGGTAACAACGAAAATGGACCTGAAGCACCAAACTGAGAAAATTCTGAAAGATGCCATAGCAGAATAATTTCACAACAAAACCAAGATTGAAATTTAATATACCACTTGAACATGCTTTGCACACGTATGCTTTGGAAGTTGCCATTCAAATACAGTCACTGCCATGCACATATCTCTGTTTCAATGCTGGGTTTTATTTGTAAGACAAATTCTATCTAACAAACAACAGTTCACAAACCTGCCACAGTTCCATGTTGATGGCACTCTCCAACTGAGCAAGTCGCGTTTCCAGGTGAAGCTGTAGAGTCTCTGGGTTGGTGAGGTTCACCGTATTTGGCTGCCCTTGGTGCTTGATAGCATTGTTTAAATGATTTCTCAACTGAACAATGAAACACAAAACAAAGTTACATGTTAACCACTAATAAACATGAATGTACTGTAATTCAGGCAATGACTGCAGTTTGATGGAGTAAAAGCACAAAAATACCACAAGTATATGTTTTCTGTACATGTAACAACAAAACAATTGTACTTACATTGTCACATAGCTTTCGAAATTCTGTGCGACGGGAATACTTCAAACAGAACTTGAAAGCTGAAATTAGGTTACACAAAGTTAGCATTACAGAGGATACTGAAAATACTTAATAGTTACACATGTGTAGAATAAATGTGATACAAAGCATGCACTTTATAGCAAATGCCCCTTCCCTATTTTCTCACGAAAAAAATAATTGGAATAAGAAAATAGCCCAGAGAAAATACACATGCTCATGGGTTAAAAATCGTGTTTCTATAACTAGATAGAAACACAGAACTAGCAAGAGCTGTTGATGTTATGATGGCACACGCAAAGAGAATTAAATTCTTGATAATAAAAGTAAAGAAGTTGCTTTCTTTTTTTCGTTGTGGTATTTTCTGAAAAAAAAAATAGAAAACATGTTATAGAAACACTTGTGAAGGTTTGGGATAACTCAAAAAAGCTGTGGAAACACCTGCCCATTGGCTTGTGTTCCCAAAGCATTTCTGGTTCTCCCAAACTTCCACTCATGTTTCTATAACTCGATAGAAACATGGAAAAAGTTTTCTATTTCTTGAATAGCTGTGATCACACAAATGTAAATCAATTGTCACCCGAACACTACAGCACAGTAATAATGTAAAGTAAAACAAAATTCTTCTAAGTTATTCATAAAAATGGAAGTGTTAATCAGTTTCAAGTGCTTCAATCTACCTTGTTGAGCAGTGTCATGATACAGCTTCTCCACTCGAGCATTATTTCGCAGCAGTTCTAAAACGTTGCGATATGCTTCCCACAGAAACTTGACCCAAGGTGTCAACATTACTCTGTCAGTACGATCCTGAGTGTCCTCACCACTAACAAAACTGAGTAATATGCTGAAGGAAATAAAAACGAACAGTACAGCTCAACAGTTTTCAGAAAATAATCCAAGTGCCTATGATCCTCAACTCAGGGCTCAAAGCAAGTGTCATCTGGTTGTCCAACACAAGTAGGTTTTTCCGCTGGGAAAGTAGCTTTTCATTCTCACTTGCCTGGACAAGTTGTGTGCTAACTTACTCAAAAGAAAAGTAATCAAGGCTTAACCAGGGCAAGCAACATTTGAGAGCTGCTTGTCTGAAAGGCAAGCTGGAATTCAAGTGTTTTTTTGAGCCCTGTAACTATGCAATGTATGAAACAGGAAGTAGTACAGTACCTCTCTGGTGTCTGAATCTGNTCATGATACAGCTTCTCCACTCGAGCATTATTTCGCAGCAGTTCTAAAACGTTGCGATATGCTTCCCACAGAAACTTGACCCAAGGTGTCAACATTACTCTGTCAGTACGATCCTGAGTGTCCTCACCACTAACAAAACTGAGTAATATGCTGAAGGAAATAAAAACGAACAGTACAGCTCAACAGTTTTCAGAAAATAATACAAGTGCCTATGTTCCTCAACTCAGGGCTCAAAGCAAGTGTCATCTGGTTGTCCGGGACAGGTAGATTTTTCTGCTGAGAATGTAACTTTTCATTCTCACTTGCAACTGCCTGGACAAGTTGTCTGCTACATGTAACTTACTCAAAAAAAGTACAACGTAATTGAAGCTTAACCAGCGCAAGAAACATTTGAGAGCTGTTGGTCTGAAAGGCAAGCTGGAATTCAAGTTTTTTTTGGAACCCTGTAACTATGCAATGTATGAAACAGCAACTAGTACAGTACCTCTCTGGTGTCTGAATCTGATCCAAGTCATCTACAATTGGGACTTGATCACGAGACTCTTGCCGTGCGGCATCTGCACGGTCTTCTGCAAGCTTGAGGAAGTAACGAATGACATCCTCAAGTGATACAATGTTAACTTGCTGGCAAATCAACTTGTACTGATACAATCCCTCCTTAGCGATATGACTTCTTCGGAGATCAACACACAGCTCCAAGTACTTGAAAAGAATGGGTTCGTGGATCTTGTTTTGCCATGTGCGATGTTTCTTGCTTTTAATGACATCATACAATGCATCCAAAGCTGGTTCTTTCTTTCCAACTTCGATAAACTCTAAAAAAAGAGTACACATAATAACTTGAGAAACGATTTACTCAGGGGATACTCCCTTGTATAGGCTACATAAGGATGTGCGGCCCCAAAGGGTGTGGTTTTTGTAGCAAGTTTGGTCTGAAAAAGGGTATCTTTTGCACTCTGGCTTGGCATATTTGTAGCCTTGCCAAAATTTTACATAAATGGAAGCCATTTCTGGTTAGCTGCCGTCATACATGTACCTGTATATTAGGCCCTTTACTAATTTTAGAGGCCAGAAATGGGGTATTGATATTTTGCTCAGGTCTGAAATAGGGTATGGAAAATCATAGTTTTTTGTCTGAAATAGGGTACAGATTTCAAGGTTTGGACCACACGCCCCCACCAAAAACTTTGGCTAGTACCCCTCGGTGTTTACCACAATCTCTAGGATCTTTTAAGTTTATTCATTACTTGCATAAAACTGACATTTTAATGGCTCTTTACACTAGCTTTTTTTCTATCAGCTTTATAACGAAGTATGTTTTTCAGGTAAGAAAGGAAATCAATAAAATAAGCGATTAAAATGGTTACAGCCTGTAATAATCACGTGGTTATAAAAGTACACGTATCGTTCGGATTGAACGAAGGAAATGAAGACAATAAAGGCTAAAGGCTGACAATAACGGGATCAAAGAAAACAAAAAATGATTCTGGGGCTAAACTTGAAATTAAATATGGTTAAATCAGCGATTTTGGGAAGCAAAACGAAAATAAAGAATCTAGTCCTATTCTGATAAATATCGACCGAACTGACGAAGATTCGATGAATTAGATAAATTGACTTATAGAAAACTTCGATCAAGTTACTTTTCAAGATTCGAAAATAGGTTAACGATAAATCTTAAACACTTCTTGTATAGTAGAAATGACTGTTTCTTACCGTTGGCTCTTTTCAGAGCATTTTCCGGTCGCTGAAAGTAAACCGGCATGGTGGTAACACGCCGTCCCTTTCCAACGCGTTCACCGAGAGGAAACACGACCGTAAAGCTTTCTGGTCAGCATTTTGCCTCGCTTTCGAAACTAACTGCGCGGGATTTTCGCGCGGAGCTCTCGCGCGAAAAACACGCTTGATTTCGCGCGCAATTTACGAGGTTTTTGCAAGCTTCATTTTTCGTAAGGATTTCTAGTGATCACTTTTAAGATGGTAAACTTAAGCTACTTCTGAGGCAAGGAATTCCCAGAGACGACAAAATTCGAATTGTCGATTTTGCCCCGTGACTTTAAACTATTTCAAATTGGATCGGCCGAAACATTTCCTTGTAAAATACCGCTGTATCTATATTTTTAAATTTTTAGAGGCATCCTACTTCTGTCTGGAGAAAGGCGACAGTAGCTTTCACCCAATGTGCCCTCATTACCTGAGTGGTTCGCCATGTGATGACTAGTGCTTGAAGCAGAGGAGAGGAATGCCGGAGTACACTGGAACGTACTAGATTTCCATGCCGATAGCTAATCAGTCCCCTTGCATAGCCAGCAGCTCGAGGTTAACATGATTAAGGCCCAGTTTAAACGTCGCATTTGACATGCACCGAATCTTATTGCCGAATTAAGTGCGTGTAAAATGCGACGTTTACATCAATTAAATGCGACATGTTTGAATTAAATGCGCGTTCAGTCGAATATTCGACTGATCCAGTCGAATATACGACTGAAGTTCGACAGTTGATTTAAACGCCGCATTTTACATGTGCCGAATCTAATTCATAAATTATGTTAAATAATATTTTACCCATAACTCCACAGTTTTGTGCTACATGACATGCGCACAGCAAGCTGAAGGGAATTTTCGGCGGCAATTGCAGTAGGAGATGTAGAAGGAAGGCTGTTGAAGATACCAGTATGTGTGGTTCTTGCTTCGCTCCAGTCGTGTAACGTAGTTATGCAAAACCAATGTTTCTGCCATCAAGCAAAAACCGCTCTATGCTGCATGACATGCGGAGTAGGAAAGCAATATGGCGACTGTTGAGGATAATAGTGTATGCGGTGGCTCTTACTTCTCTTCAGCAAAGTTAAGCTTACATAGAAGATGGAGAGCGAGGTCTATGAACTTGAAAGTGAAACGACAATCAGAGTTTAAGAGGTAATGCACTGCCATCTGCATTATAAATCCCCGCATCCTGTTTGCGCATAGTTAGTACCAACCATGGTTTGCGGGAATAAATGGTGTTTGCCGAAAGGTATTAACGATCTAAACGCAAAATGTGCTCCTTATCATTGTCAGCCGTATTGATGGGAAAGTTGAAGCGGAGTCAGGGAACGAACACGTCGCTCGCGCTCAGCAATTTTATTCGGCACAAAAAATGCGACTTTTAAATCAAATGCCGAACTTTTAAACTCGAGTCGACTCAACTATTAGATTCGGCGCATGTAAATTCGGGGCTCTTAGAAGATTAGCTGAACATAGATACGTAGGGATTCTTCAGCTACTTGTGCACACGCGCGTTTTTAAAGTTTTAGTTTCCGAATTATGTCAGAAGTGAAACATCATACGACACGGGATACAGACTTATCAAGATTGTTGTTAATTCTCTATCTCACAGAGGTCAGTTTTCACCAAGATGAACGTCTGGATTCACTATATCTACTAGCCTCGTGAATACCCAACAGGTCCTGACGATCCGAGATGTACTAACTTCCAAGATCCGAGGACTAAGGCCCAAGTTTCCCTTGCTAACAACACAAATGTAACTCTGAATTATGAACCCTGAAGCTCATAAAAGACATCAAAAATTAAAAGTAAACAGGAGGATTTGACTCTTGTTGCTTTAGAACGGGTAAAGAGTGAAAATGAGGATAAGAGTACCAATACTGTTTTTAACGTATGGAAGCTCATCGGAATATTTTACCAACTGTTATTGGAGGCGCGGTGGCCTCATGGTCTCAAAATCTCGCGCCATGAGGCGCGGTGGCCTCGTGGTTAGAGCGCTCGTCTCCGGATCGAGTGGTCCTGGTTCGAGCCCTGGCCGGGGACATTGTGTTGTGTCCTTTGGCAAGAGACTTTACTCTCACAGTGCCTTTCTCCACCCAGGTGTATAAATGGGTACCGGCTAACTTTATGCTGGGGGTAACCCTGCGATGGACTAGCATCCCGTCCAGGGGGGAGTAGAAATACTCCTAGTCGCTTC